CTATTTTGAACTAAATAAATTCTAAAGAGTTGATTTGTTATTTTAGAAATCAATAATATTGTTGTATCACAACATCCAACAACAAGTACTTGTACTGATAGTAATATCGGTCTTATTCAAGTAACAGAGAAAGATGCAGATGATTTTATACAAGTTCCAAATCATTTTACGTTATCAAGTGATAAAATACATGATCTTGTAAATAGAAAGGATGATAGTTCTTCAAAATCACTTGATTCATCTGCTGATTTTATCAATGAAATTAATATGTGTACCTTAGAATCTAATGCAACAACTAATACGAGAAACAACAATGATGAAAATATTGATGCATCATCAGGTAATAATACAAATAATAAATCAGAATATTTCATGACTTTTTTCGATTTTAGAGTCACAGCAATGGTTAAAGGACCTAAAAAGTGATTATGATGTAATGCTCAATAAATACTCAAAAAGAATCGAAGAACAACAACAAATATTGAATCAACTAATGCATGAAAAAGAAAGTCTTATGAAGAATATGGTTGAAAGGCTTAATGAAAGCTTTCTCAATGTACAGAAAAGAAAACGTAGGATAGGAATATCATCGTTTCTTTGTTTTTTAATTTTATCTTTGTTTTTAGAAATCGTGGGTGAAGAAAACATACGGGACAATTGACAAAGAAGATTCATTAACATTTTAAAAAACGTTTTGTGCTTGTTTCATGTAAAGTAAATTTATATTTTACATGATATAAATTTATTATGTGTTTTTGAATATTATATTAAAGAATTTTCATGAAAAAAAACCAAAGTTAATTAATATAATATGTTGCAAATTATTGATGAAATTCTTGAGCAAACTTTTGAAAGTTGAATGGAATAATAAGAAGATGAAGTAATGAAAATATGTCGAAAAGATTGATGTAAATTGAATCTCAGAATAAGTATGTGCTTGATAGGCTCCGTATAGGAATGGCTGCTGTCAGCCTTACTATGACAGTTCGTGTCATATTTTATAAGGTTTTTTAATACAGATTAGCTCATCGGTTTTACTCTTGGTCAACGAGGAAAGTTCGCTTGCAAATTCAAAATTGTTCTTTTTGTCAATCAAGCTTGCTTAACTAAGATCTGTACGATTCATAAGTTACCGTATGCATCGAAATATTTCGCAATACAACAATATTTTTTTTTACAAATGCATATATGTACAGCAGTCGACAAAAGTACTTCTATCATATGGGAAAAGAAACTATTTAGGCTCATATTTTTGCTATAAATAAAATGCAGTGAATCTTGATCGTTAGAGTTGATATATTAATGGATAAATTGTTAATCAAGAATAATTAGCAGCAAAAGTAATACCTGTAGGGGTGGGAAGTTACCGTTACCCGGGAGTTACGTTACCGGGTAACTAGTAACTTTTGAGTTACTAATTACCGAGTAACTAGTAACGCCGGAGTTACCAGTTACCAGGTAACTAGTAACTTCGAAGTTACTAGTTACTTTTGGTAGGTAACTTGTCTAAAAAGTCGAGATATCGCTTCCTAATGACAGAATATCATCTATTCATCATTCAATTAAATTACGAGTTACTTGGTAACTAGTAACTCCTATGTGCGTTACTAGTTACTCGGTAACTCGTGAGCTGAATAAGTACTGTAATGATGGTATTCACTCATTAGGAAGCGATATCTCCACTTTTTAGACAAGTTACCTACCAAAAGTAACTAGTAACTCCGAAGTTACTAGTTACCGGGTAACTGGTAACTCCGACGTTACTAGTTACTCGGTAACTAGTAACTTGCGAGTTACTAGTTACTTGGTAACGTAACGGTAACTTCCCACCCCTAAATACCTGTTGAAAATGCTATCGAAATTTGAAAAGATATACCAAATGATTAATATCGATGATAATCAAACAAATCACATTTCTAAAGAAAGAACTTTCATAAATCAATAACAACGCTGAATTTAATTATTAAATCAAACTTATTGTTAAATCATTGTAGAAGATTTTTATTCTGTAATTATTTAGGATGTTTTATATAATCTTGCTTTGCTTATTTTCATATTAAACAAGCAATAGAATATATAATCTTTTGTTTTTATTTCAATTGATTATTATTTATTTGTTTTATTTCCATTCATTGATATTCCTTTTGATAAACAATATAATCAAAATAATTAACTCTTTCGTTTGTACAGTCAAAATAGATTATTTTTGAAAAATGTTCACCAGAAAAATTCTTAAACATGTGACAACCCAGTCCGTATTATCGAAGGTTGAGCTACAGTTTAACATTAGTAGATCATCAGATGTTGTTGTTGTCAAAGTCGGTAGAAACTTTGCCTGTCATAGAGTGTAAAAAAAATAGTCGACCAATGCACGCTACTGGAATGGTTTGATAATTCTTTTTAGAAAAGAAAGAGCATCTTATCAACGTCAAGTATTTTGTCTTAGTTGAAAACATGAATAAAAATATTTTGTTTGGAACGAAGAAAATTTCAGAATTGTAAGCTTGTTCGAATCGTTCTAATGTAATGGGTCATTTTGAATGAATACGTTGCCATGACAAACCAAATATGAGTAAATGAATGAGTGCCTTATCCTATGAAAAACTGTCTTCTCTCTTTATCTTCACTATTTTAGCATAAAATTATTTTATTTTACATTGAGTAATTCAATAATAAGATCCATCAACATACTATTTAACTATATATACCAAACAGTGTTCGACATGGGTCACTTTTTTAGTGACCCGACCCGACCCGAGTTTTTTTTTCTGACCCGACCCGAGAATAAGAATTTTTTCAAAACATGACCCCATCCGAAGGCAAATATTTTCCTGTATGTACATATCGGTTGTGCTTAAAATTGTCTTTTTTCTTTCGCCTATCATGCATATATATATATATATATATATATCAGTCGATCGCTTTTCTTTCTTTTCAGCAATTCAATTTGTCAGTTCCTTTGTTTTTATTTTATTGCGCATTTAAAAAAATAAGGACATGTCCTTGATCTTTTCTCGGTTTTTATGTATCACTGATATTGCATAGTTAAGGCAACAAAATCATCTGATAATACTTCAGCGTTTTTCTGCATTCATTTATATCATGTACAGGATTTGAGACTATTACATCTCTAGATAAAATATTAGATACTTACTATAAATGCTCTTAAGATATCAATGAATGGAAAATGATGAAATAACACAAAAGATGATATCATACATGCTGCTTTGTTATATCTAATTGTTTGTTGTGAGATCACAGAACTTATAAACAAAAAACTAACATGATTTTTGTTTCTGAAAAATACATATCTGACCCGACTCGACCCGACCCGAGTTTCCAATGATCCGACCCGACCCAACCTGAGTAGACCCGAGATTAAAAATTTTTTCCTGACCCGACCCGAGGTCTGACCCGACCCGAGTGGAACACTGATATGAATCTCTGATTCGTTTTATTTTAGTCTGTAGGAGTTGTATCTTTACTTATTCTTCTCAACTTGTTTGTTTATTTTTTATATGTTAACGAAATAATGTGAAGAGAATGACATTGAAAACGGTTTGTTTTCGGTTTTATTGATTTATGTTTTTGTTTTTCTTTTCCTTATGATTTATTGCTTGAAATGTATGAATTTAAAAAAAAATGAATAGATCTTCCAAGAAAATAAAATAATTATTTATTTTAATATATTTAGTATTTATTATTATTGATATATAAAATGATGAATGATAATAAACGAAAAGAAATAATTGATTCATGACATATACGTGCTGATCCTTATCATATATTGATTAAGAATAATCAGATATTTTCCAATATGGCTATAAGTATGATCAAATTTGTTGAAAAACATTTACTAAACAATTCAAAAGATCTTTATATTATGGATTTAGCTGCTGGAACTGGTTTAGTTTCGAAATTATTAATTGAATATTTTAATATATCACCATTATCATTATATCTTGTTGAATCAGCTGAAAGAATGTGTTTACATGCATGAAATAAATTTCTATTTAACAAAGATGTATATACTTATCTTTATCATTATTCATTGAAAAAACTGTTCTGTTCGATAGAGACCTTGATGAATATCGTAACTATTTTCGTTGAGGTCTGCAAAAATGGAAGAATGAGACTTTTTTCATTTTCATATTGTTTCCTGCTATCATAGTTGTACCATTTTTTCATTTTGTATTAGATTTGTAAGAATGAATAGTTTTTCTCATAGAATATTCGTCGAAAATGAACAGAATTGAACATGAAAGAGATCTTTATCTATCACAAATAACAGTATCATATATATACTTTCTGCCCACATATCAACAGTAATCATTTGTATATGTCAACAGACAGAACTGATCACAGTTTCTCGTTGTAACAAAAGCAAAATGAACGTTAATGCGCTAATATTTCACGTATTTAGAGTGAAACCAATTAATATTGTGCAACGAAAAACTTCTAAGGTTTCTTCATTATTTATCGATCATCATATTTGTTTGTATAGATTTGCTTAAGACGGCTTCCGTAACATCTTCGATATGCCCTAATCGGTTGATCATTTATGGTCACGATAGAGAATTCTGTACGTGTATTACTTTTCCACAGTATGTCGCCGTTTTCAGAGTACTTTGTTCGACGCAGAGTGATATGAATGTTTCCGACGATGAGCACTTGAAACTATTCTAATGACTATGTAGTGTTAGACAAATTTCTGTAGCTCCAGCAGATATCAAGTTCACAAAGTGTGAAGTTATTTTGTCTTCGTACTATGATATTCAGCATATTTTGCTATAGGTGCAACAGAAAATCTACAATTATTTTTTTTTTCATGGTATATCTGAATAGTTCTTATCAAATTATAAATAAACTATGGAACAACGTTATTAGCAGTTAAATAACTATTGATAATAGTTTAAGAGAATAATAAAGATTCGGATAGAATGATTCTAATCAATCAGTCGATTAAGTATAAAACATTAAATCCCTTGTCAAAGAAGCTACTAACAAATTCTACAGTATCTTCACATTTAGAAAAAAATTTTCTCTTAAAGAGTCCTAACGTTTCGGAATCATAGATCTAAAAAAGTCAAGAGAGACATTAAAAGTCTTACTCATATTGTAATATAATGAAGTATTAATACAATTTGCTTTGTAATAAATAAATACAGGATAAAATTATGAAAATTTAAAACAATTCAAGAGAAGACTTGACTTGACTTGAACTGACGAGGAAACCACTCGGGGTGACACCCTCCGTTTTGACTCATTTATATCTCATTCGATAGAATATATTCAGATAGTCAAAGGACGTAGAGGACTTTTCCTCATGGCTCTTCTTTCAAAAGTTATAGTCGTTTTATTGAATTTTCGACTCATTTCCAGGTATTTACGAAAAAAAATCAAAATAGGGAATTTCGACTTGGTATTTCGTCCATAGATAGGCCTAATTGTCCTTAGAATATCCTGAAAATTTCAGCTAAAAAGAATGTTCCTTTCTTGAGATATTGAATTTTCAAAAAGCAGTCGCCTGCTGCCGATTGGTCACAAAAACCTAGTTCACTTGAAAATTCAATATCTCAAGAAAGAAAAATTCTTTGGAGCTGAAATTTTCAGGCTATTCTAAGGACCATTAGACCTATCTATGGGTGAAATACCAAGTCAAAATTCTCTATTTTGATTTTTTTCGTAAATACTTGGGAATGGGTAGAAAATTCAATAAAACGACCATAACTTTTAAGGACGAGCCATGGGGAAAAGTCCTCTACGTCCTTTGACTATCTCAATATATTCTATTGAATGAGATATAAATGAGTCAAAACGGAGGGTATTACCTCGCGTGAGTCCCTCTTGAGTAGAGATTGACTTGATTTAAATTTTAAAATGTCTGCTTCGAATCCATGACTTGGGTACAAAAAAACCCTGACTTGCTCATTTCTGGTTAAAAACAACGAAAATACTAGAAAACACACATGATGTCATTAGTTGTGATCGATATAATGGTATCTTTCATGTTCAATTCTGCTCATTTTCGATCACTCTTCTATGAGAAAAACTAATCATTCTTATAAATCTTATACAAAATGAAAAAGTTTTATTCTCTCATTTTTACAGACCTAAACAATAACAGTTATGATATTCATCAAAGTCTCTATCGAACAGAACACTTTTAAACTTGTTCTCAGGAAATGTGAAATAAATTATAAAAACTCGATATACTTATCGAATATATCGTAATATAAAGAATGAACATATATATATATGATGTCTGCTGAAGACAGTCTTTTAACAAATGATTTACCTCGAGATTATTTTAATTTTATCCTTTGTAATGCATCAATGCATTTAATGTCTGAAGATAATATGTATCCAGTTATATCAAAATTACTTAAACCTAAAACAGGTTATTTTATTTATACAATATGGTATCATTCATTTGATGAAACTGAACATTAATCAGAAAAATTAATCTATAGAAACATATATTAATGATGCATTAACTTTTTATAATTATTCAATTTATTTTTCAACACTAAATAAAAAAAGAATCAAAAACAAATCGTTCAAGAAAATATTTAGAAGAAATATCAAATAAATATGAACTTAAACTTGAATCATGTACAATTAATATACATTGAACACCTCTTTCGTTTGATCTTGATTTTATGTTAATGATACCAAATTGGTTAATTCAACATTTAGAAACTAATAGATCTAATTAATATGATGATATTTACCTAATTCGAGAACGTATTATTGAAAAAGTTCAACAATCAATTGAAGGAATATTTATTGAAATATCGGTTGTCAATATAATTGTTTCAAGAATTTGATTAATTATTGAACAATAATATAAATCAAGAAAGCTATTTTTTGTGCTTTTTTTAGATAAATAACTGAGCATATTAATTTCCAGTAGTAGGTGTACCAAGCGAAAATCAAATACACAGAACATTTACTACTGCTAGCTTAAATGCTGTTTTACATGTTACTAATAAAAGCAGAGTGTGCATGGTTGACATTACTCTAGACATTTACACTTCTGTTTCAGTATTTTAATTTGTTTATATGATATTAAATTAAGAATTTATTGTTTTAAAGTATCGTAGATTAGGACCTCTACTAACGATTATTTCTATTTGCTAGGTATATTTTTTCGACTCTTTCTCGTTTTCGTTCGATATAGGCCCCGAACAGACCGACTAATTTAAAGTGAATTAAAACTGAATTAACGAATAAATCGTGTCAAAAAGACGATTTAAATCGAAATAGATCAATCACGTTGCTTAATTCATTTTATTGTTTTCAGTCTATTCGAGGTCCTAGTCACTTCTTCACATAGATTATTTGGTCGACTAGCACGATCGAATAAATGTATAGACAAAAGGCACGACAGAAAATACATTATGCTTTGTTTTACGATTTCCTTATATAGGTTGCCATATTTGATAGTGTACACACAATTTCTCGCGATATCATTTCTTACTTTCATATTTCTTTAGATGAAGAAGACAATTGTAAAAGCATTACCAAAAGATTTAGATGTAATATTCGTGCATGAACATTCTCGAATACCAAAAGTTTTACGACGACATTTAAATCATCTAGAGGCACGTCGACGTTGTGAACATGATTCACAATTGGCAATCATATTTTACTATAAAAATGGATGTGAGAGATTTGTGAAAAAAAATTAATAGCATACTTTTTGTTTGATCAGATTTTGCACAAAACGACGCCTCGTCAATTGAACCCAAACCTGATACACAGACAAGTACAGCATCATCTCTTTCTCAAACAAGTAAGGAGCAATTTGATTCAACTGCTGCCGTCGAAGTTCTTCCATGCTGATCTTAACTCATGTCTTTATTACTTTTTAGCTACACAATCTTCATTATTCAGCTCAAATAATTCAACATTGGATGGGTAATTATTTTATTTACCAAAAATATTTCATATTTCTAAAACTTTTAGTTTGAACTTGAACGAACATAAAAGAAAACGTGACAACTCATTAGAACCTGCACCAAAAAAAAAAATCATTTACCCTCGCAGTGGCTATCCAGATGACCTTGGAAATGTTTCTTCATCAGAAACTGATACAACAAATGCTGCTTCTGGAGGTGAAAATTTATCTGATTTTCATTTCAATAACTTCTAGATAGAGCTGATTATTTTAGAAAAAAATAGTCGTTTTCAAGCAATAGATTGTGAAACATATGATTTCATAGAAGATGATGCTGTTGGGTTTGATTCAGAGAGCCCAATAATATTGGATTCCCCACATAAACGTACAACACTTCCTACATCAAAAACTGATGTAATAGCTAGCATTTTCAAAGGTGACAAAAATACTATTTTGAACTAAATAAATTCTAAAGAGTTGATTTGTTATTTTAGAAATCAATAATATTGTTGCATCACAACATCCAACAACAAGTGTTTGTACCAATGAAAATCGTAGTTGTTTTGAAACAGATGATTTTGAACAATCAAGTGCAGATCCTTATGTATCACCAGATTATGCATGTGATGGTTTATCGAAAGATGTCGAAGCTCGTTTGATATTACCTCATATAGCACTAACTGGACATACAGGTACACTTAACATATTCTACATCTAAACCTTTAACAACAATTAATTTTTATAGAAGATGATGCTGCTATATTTGATTCACAGAGTTCAATAATATTGGATTCTGCACATAAAGGTACAACTCTTTCTACATCAAAAACTGATACAACAGCTAGCATTTTGAAAGGTGACAAAAATACTATTTTGAACTAAATAAATTCTAAAGAGTTGATTTGTTATTTTAGAAATCAATAATATTGTTG